TTATGTAGACATCTGAAGAGTTAGATACATGTAAATTTAAAATATGCAACGTGACCGTTTACTGTTCTGTATTATGTAATGGGCATTATGTCTGGGCTGTCAACATGTAGGACAGGTAATGAAATTCTTTGGTTTTTTTTTTTTTTTTTTTTTTAGGCTTTTTTGTTTGGTTTTGTCAGGACAAAGTTTCACTAAGAAACCCTTGATGGTCTTAAATACAGAGGTCTCCTGTCTCCGCTCTCCAGTTCTAGGATTAAGGGTGTGAGCCCCAACCCCAGCTCGTCTCTGATATATGTGTATGCATGTGTATATGTGTGTGTCTGTATATATGTGGGGGGGGGTTGAGACAGGATTTCTCTGTGTAGCCCTGGCTGTCCTGGAACTCACTCTGTAGACCAGGCTAGCCTCAAACTCAGAGATCATCCTATCTCTGCCTCCCGAGAGCTTGGATTAAAGGCATGTGCCACCACCTCCCAGCTCGTTTCTGATATTTTTAATCATCTCTGCTCAATGGCTGAAGAAGGCTCAGTGGGTAAAAGGTAAAAGCACTTGCCGCAAGTTTAATGGAATTCAATCTCTTGGACCCCTACAGTAGAAGAAACCTGACTCAGGAAAACTGTTTTTGGTTTCCCCACATACACCATAGTTATATGTACATTCATACACATAAAATCAGTACTGTTTGGGCTGGAGAGATGGCTCAGAGGTTAAGAGTACTGGCTGGGTCGGCAGTGGTGCCGCATGCCTTTAATCTCAGCACTCAGAAGGCAGAGGCAGGATGATCTCTGTGAGTTTGAGGCTAGCCTGGTGTACAGAGTGAGTTCTATGACAGCCAAGGTTGTTACACAGAGAAACTCTGTCTCGAAACACACACACACACACACACACACACACACACACAGAGCACTGGCTACTCTTCCAGAGGTTCTGAGTTCAGTTTCCAGTAACCACAAGATGGCTCACAACCATCTATAATGAGATAGCCCTCTTCTGGCCTGCAGGTGTATGTATAGACAAAGCACTCCTACATAAACAAACAAACCCGTACAAATAAAAAGCGTGCCATTAGGGTAATCCTGCTCTTTGAAGACTTGGTCTCCATCTATTGGTCTCCGAATGAAAATATTTCGTTTTGTACAAATGCAACACACACAAATGAGTCTGTGGTCAGGTGTCACAAAATTACTAAATTTGTGAAGGTCTAACATTGGATTTTCTTGGTGTGGTAGACCTAGGGATCTAAAGATTCTACATTTTGTTTAATGAGCAGAAGCTGAGCTACTATATATAAGATTTCTGTACAGTTCTGTGCAATGGTACCAAATGTCGCTGTCTCCTTTACATGTTAAATATATTTATATGCCTGCCGTATTGGATAAACTAAGATGCATGGTTTAGGATCTAACAGCTTGGGGTCAAGCTGATGAGGCCTAAACTAGAATTGCTAGTGGTGCTTCCTTTTCCCAGGCCTGTGTTCATGTGCTCTTAATTGTACTGACTAGTTAGTTGCTTTAAACAAAGATAATTAGACGTGCCCTAACAATGTGCTCTCCCAGCAGTGCCTCTAATAATTAAAAGGCACTGGTCACTTAAAGAGTACTTCTATAAATAACACTTAATCTTCAAGCTAGTTCTCACTCAACATTTGCTCTTGCTGACTGGATTTTTGTGAAGCTTTTTAATGGTTGGCTGTTAGCATTCTGTAGAAGAACAACCTCCAACAAAAGACTGAAAAGCATTTCTAAGAAGCTGGGGCTACCCCACAGGAGAGACAGAACTCAAACACAAGAGTAGATTCCATGAAGACCTGACCTAAAAGCCACTCCATCTGTACCTTTTATCTGCTTAAAACTAACTATGAAGGTTTTTTTGGTACGACTCCTTGATATCTGTCCCTCTCCCAACGTGGGATCAGACCAATCTGAAGCGATCACCATGGTAAGAGGGACAGCCGAGATCATCAGATATCGCTAAGCTGTCTTCAGTGAAAACTGTTTAGAGACAAGAATGGTGAAAGGGGGAGGATTAAAATAAAAGAAGCTCCCCTGGCATGATGACATTTGCAGGCAACCCCACCACTTTGGGATCCTAAACCAGGATGATGGTGAGTTGGAGGTTGGCCTAAGTGTCACAAAATCCTGTTTCAAACCAAAGAGGGGCTGGAGCTGCCTGTGCCGGACCTTCCTAAAGTAATCAATAGCAAGAGTTATAGGAAAACAGTTTTCTTTTGTTTTTTGAGACAGAGTTTTTCTGTATAGCCCTGGCTGTCCTGCAACTCACTTTGTAGACCAGGTTAGCCTCAAACTCAAGGATCCCCCTGCCTCTGCCTCCTGAGTGCTGGAATTAAAGGCATGTGCCACCCACCATACCCAGCTGGGAAACAAGTTCTTTTTTCCCCCCAGACTGGGTTTCTCTGTAGCTTTGGAACCTGTTCTGAAACTTGCTCTACAGACCAGGCTGGCCTCGAACTCTGAGGTCAGCCTGGTGGGAAACCAGTTCTTATATTTGGTTACTTGCGGGAATGTCTTTGGTTCCTGCTTGTATTCTGGTAAAAATGGCCTCCAAGAAATCTGTTCTTGGCTCTCCTTTCCTATCTTGTCACTCCTGATTTACCTGAAGTACCTACCTAAGTTAAAATGTACCTATAAGTAACAGTATTTGGGGGCCAGTGAGATACATGGCTCAGAGGGTGAAGATGTCTAAGCCTGAAGACCCTGAGCTGGATCCCCAGTTTCCACATCATGGGGAGCTGAATTCTCTAAGTTGTCTCTGACCTACACAAGCACGAATGTGCGTGTGCATACCCACATAAACTGTAAGTAAAATAAAAATTAAGTAATTTTTAAAATTTACTTTAAATGTAAAGGAATTAAAAATTTTTATGTAATAGCCAGGAGGTGGTTGTGCATGCTTGTAATTTGGGAGGCAGAGGCAGGTGGATCTGTGAATTCAAGGCCAGCCTGGTCTACAGAGTGAGTTCCCAGGACAGCTAGGGCTGTTTGTTATAGAGAGAAACCATGTCTCGAAAAACTAAAAAAACAACAACAAAAAAAAAAACAAAACTTATTTATTTGTATGCACTTTTGTGGGCATTGACTCAGCAGAGTGTGAAGGCAGAGACAACCCACAGGAGTTGATCCCTCCTGCTAGTGTGTGCTGTCCTAAGGACCAAACTCAGTCAGGCTTGGCAGCTTTTAGCTATTAAATTATCTCATTGGCCCAATCTAGACAACTGCAACGTTCTAAACACTACAAAGGGGAACTAGCTTCCTTTATAGAGTGTGCCTCCACAATAAAATCTACACAAAATCTGGTCTAATCTGCACCCTAAATTTCCTTTCTAGTCCCTCTATGCTAGGGATGGAACCCAGGCAACAGAATGTCAGACACACACCTACCCCTGCGCTACACTCCCAGCCCAGCCTCCAGGGAAATCAAAGGTGGATAAAATACCAAAACAAAAAAGAGACGGGGGCCCGGGGCGGGGACTATGGAAGGGGGGCAGCACTGTTGCTTTCTTTTCACAGAGACGGGGCTCAAGTAGCACAGGCTGGACTTGAATACCTGGATGCTTCTGCTTGTTCTACCTGCTCTTCTCAATGGTTGAGTGCTGGGATCACAGACATATACCTTCATACTTAGTTTTAAGAATTTTCAATAAAACGCTTTAATAACCATGGAGTGCCTGAGCACTTGACAATGGACTCCACTATCAAAGAGTAATCACTTTGGCTTATCTAACAATTTGGGTGTGGTGGTTTGCTCTTCCTTATTTCGGCACATATAAAAACCACGACTAGCAGCCACCATGCGTGGTGGTGGCACACGTCTTTAATCCCGGGCAGGTGGATCTACGTGAGTTCGAGGCCCCAGCCTGGTCTACGAAACGAATTCCAGGACAGAGTTGTTACACAGAGTGACCCTGTCTCGAAAAACAAACAACAAAACCCCCCATGACTAGCGAGACATAGTGGCTCACCTCTGTAACCCCAACACTCCAGGCTAAATTAAGAGGAGAGCTGCAAGGTGCACGGTCTGAGATACTTAGTGAGACTCCAGTATTTAAGAAACTAGAGAAGAGCCTTTACAGGAAGGGGAGACCAACGAGCAGTGCCTCGAGGAAATCTGTGAGACTAAGAACACTAATGGGAACAAACAGCAATTCACGGCCTATGGAAAATTTTATTCCTTTTTTTTTTTTTGAATTGCACACGTCTCCTGCACAAGCATCCATGTAAGAACTGGATATCAGGCCATGACTGCTCTTACCCAGATTTCATAATAACTCACTAAAGCTTCACGTTATTATCAGACCCAGAAATGTAAGAGTGACCGCTTTCGCCTCAAATATCCTTCAGTTCTTCCCACCAGCGCTGTGTCTGCCAAAAACAAGGGCGCAGACTTACAAGAGGGAGCCCCAAGTCTGAGGCTCGCAGCAGCCAGGACTTCCACTCCACGCTGCCCCCTAGCGGCTACTCCTCTGTCCTGAGCTTCCCGTAGTCCGGCTCCCCGGTCCCAGGTCTTCCACCCACCCCCTTCACCTCCTCCCAGTCCCCTCCCCTTCCTCCCGCCAGCATCCCCTTCCTCTTTGTCCCTCTGCCCCCGCCGCCACCCCCGTTCCAGCAGCCTCCGGGCCGGTGCCCACAGGTCCGGGCTGGGCACATGTCACGGCCCCTTCCACGGCGCTCTGGCCGCTCCGGAACCCTGCGTCTCCCTCCCCCTCACCTCTTCCGGAGCGCTGCCCGCTTCGCTCTTACTGGGCCCGCCAGCTTGGTCCCGTTTCTTTCTCAAGTTAAGACTCCTTGCCAGCGGCCGTCACTTTTTGGCCTTTTCACATATGCATATTTGGGGGACCTTTACCCCCCCCCACGCGGAGAAATGGAGGCAATAAAATGGCGGACCCGGAAGTGAAGACCCGGTGACTATGCGTCCTGGCGGAGGAATCTGGATGAAATGGGTTAGAAAACCCACTTTGCCTTTCTGTCAAAACCGCAACGCACCTCTGAGGCCGACTTCTTCCTACTGAGGACCTCTTGAGCCTGAAAAGCTTGTACCGAGGGCATCCTGAACGGGACTACTTAGCGAGGCGCAGGATCATTGATTACGTGGCTTACGTGAGGCATAGTTCCGGTAGGGGACGGACCGAGACGGTAGTTTTGGCGCCAACGCTGCGAGGGTGAGGTTGCTGGTGGGTCGTTTTGGAGTTTGCGCTCCACCTTCTCACTGGTTCTCCGCAGGGCTAGCCTTAGGGTCAGGGGAGAATCAAGCTTCCTCGTCTTAACCTTCGCGAGACTGTTGGGGACATTCCTGGCTGTGCACGCGGACACCTGCCTGACCGGATACTTGCCAATTAGTAACCTGAATATGAAGACATTCTCAGGGAAGACAAACTTACAAATTTGGGAAAAACTGAAGAGGATGGAGCATGAATTTGCATCTCCTTTACTTCACTTCATGTACCAAACAGCTTATCTTGGTTTCCACTCATCGGTTTAAATGAATGGACTGAGAACAAAAACAAAAGGTCCTTCAAAAATCAGCAACAGACAAGCCTCTAATGGCAGCCTAGGCAGAGAGAGCTAGGCCCCAAATTTAAACATAAGGTGGAAATGGTGACACACCCCTGCAGAGGCAGGCGGATCTTTTTGACTTCAAGACCAACCTGGTCTACAAAGCAAGTTCCAGGACTGTTATACGGAGAAAACAAAAAGAGAATGGGCTTGAGATGTGGCTTAGTGTTTAAGAGCACTGGCCGCTTCCTGAGGAACTCTAGCAGGGCCAGGCAAGCACTCCGACCACTGAGCGCCATCCATCCCAAACAGTGCTCCCACAGTCAGTATTAGAAAGAGAAAACGAAAAGCTGAATGTGGGAACGAGTAAATTCTGAGATCTGTAGTACTTCATTGAGAAGAGAGAAAACTCAAACCCAGACTTAGGCTTTAACATCTTTATTAAATAAATGAACAAGTGGCAGCACAGATCAGCAGCGATAACTTTGGAAGGAATAGGGACAGGGGTAGGGTCTGAATATAACTGCTTATTTCACGGTCTTCCAGTGGCTGAAGAACTATGCCCAGGAACCATTGGCTCCTATCACATGCTGCAACTACAGAAAGGCAAAGCTAAGAACCAAAACACTCCGCCTGTTCCATGACTGAATCACAATTTTATATAAATTATGCTAATACTATGGTTTCTCTTTAGATCATATAAATCTTTTGCCTTTTATAGATTATACTACACCAAGGTTTCCCCATGAAGACTGAAATCTGAGTCTCTCAAAGTTCCCAACCCACAGTGTGAGGTGGATTCCATGCTTTTCCTCACTCCTGTTCTCCAGGATGCATTATTTCCTCTCGTACCCATGACCACCCATGTTTCTGCACGACACCTGTTTTGTAGGAAGCCTCTCAGAGCTTCCAGGTCCTCACTCCTTGAAATATTTGCTTACTGGCCTTGTGCAGGAAATCAGGGAGGATCAAGGAATCTCTGAAGCCGATTACAATGTAGCATAAAAAAAAAAATTGGTCTCCCATTTTGCACAATAATTTCTCTCTGGTGCTCCAATATGGATGGTTTTCTGGGACTAGTTAATATCCTTGGGGTTGGGGTGGAAATCCCGTGACTGAACCCTTGACTTTGTGCCTAGAAGGCTTTTGAGAGAAATGGAGTAGGCAGATAGATAGATAAATAAATAAATAAATAAATACGAAATAAATACATAAATACATACAAACATACAATTCAATTGGCAGATTCATCAGCACCACCAGCACAAAAGAGGGAAGAGAACAGTATTAGATGGGAAAGGCTTAGAAAGGACAGGGCTTAAAAGGGAAGGCAGTGGGGGGAAAGGGGTGGGAGAGAGAAGCTTTGGCCTTAGAGCAAGTCCAAGTCGATAGAGTGGATGCTGGCAATGGGAGCTCTCCAGAAGTTGAAGGTGCTGTACTCAAGGAGGGGATCACCTTCTGGGTTCTTCTGCTCTGCTCCGCTTGCTTGGCCGCCCATTTTGCCACCGTTGCTGTCTGTGCTCTTGTAGGTAGATGTATCTGACAGGCCCAGGCCTTCCAGCTCCGACAGATCCAGTTCTGGGATGGGCATTCTCCAGAAAAGAAAGGAGTTGTACTGGCTACTCACAGGGTCCCTCATAATTCCCTGGGGAAGAGCAAACCACTTGTTAGTCTTCATGCCAGAGCAAGCTCCTTGCCCCGAGAAGCTGATCTTTTTTGTTTCCTTGGTAAATAAGCCAAGGATTTTAAGACAAATACCAGGACTTTCTATCACGATTTTGCACCAGCTTCTAACTTCTCCCCATCTTTGGTGGACTGCCCACTGCAGCAGGCTCGCCTTGGCTCTAATTTTTCCCACAGTAATGAACCTCGGGTCTTATACACAGCAGGCAGGAGCTGTATCTCTATCCCGTCAGGTCTGATTTCTGAGGCTTTACAAGTCTGGCCCTACTCTTTTTGTGTGTGGTATTGAGGGTTTAACACACGCTGGGGTGTCTAGGCAAATGTTCTAACCCTGAATTATACCCTAAGCCTTCTTTTTACCTTTATTTTTAGATAGGCTCTTACTGACTTGCCCAGTCCAACCTTGAACTTGAAATCTTTCTGCCTCAGCCTCCCGAGTTACAGGCCTGCTCAATTAAGAATTAATTAACTGGACTTTACATGTACTGGTCAAGGATCCTACACATTCCCAGAACCAAACACTTGGCTTCTTCACGTCTGTTTTTTGTTTTTTGTTTTTTTTTATTTATTTATTATGTATACAATATTCTGTCTGTGTGTATGTCTGCAGGCCAGAAGAGGGCACCAAACCTCATTACAGATGGTTGTGAGCCACCATGTGGTTGCCGGGAATTGAACTCAGGACCTTTGGAAGAGCAGGCAATGCTCTTAACCACTGAGCCATCTCTCCAGCCCCCTTCACGTCTGTTTAATACTCTATGGTGTTCTGTAAAGGTCTTCCATGACATATTTGCATTTCCTCTTGCCTTTGACGCGGTTTACAAACTCACCTCCTCCTGGACATCTCCCCCAAAACAGCTGAGCTCCACCTACCTAGCCACCCCAGAGCCTTCCCCAGCACTCTGCAGAATTTTACCTGACTCCATCCTGTTCTGGTTACAGATCACGATGGACTGGATATATTTTATGTGTTTGTCTCCTTATAAGACCAAAAGTTCCTCTATGGCTAAAAACACACCTGCTAGGCTGGGCCTTTAATCCCAGAACTTGGGAGGCAAAAGCAGGCGATCTCTGAGTTCCAGGATAGCCTGGTCTACAGAGTGAGTTCCAGGTCAGCCAGAGCTACATAGAGAAGAAACCCTGCTTCAAAAGCAAAAAAACCAAACAAACACGCGCGCGCGCACACACACACACACACACACACACACACACACACACACAAACAAAAAAAACCAACCCCAAAACAAAAACCAAAATCATCTACTTTTGGGTAAAGGAGGAGCTAGACCTTGCATGTAAATATTAATTTGCCCTTATTAGCACAGTGGACACTTGGCTACTCTCACTTATTTGTCCCCAGAGTAACAAATCCTCACTTTGTCTCTCTGGCCCCTCTCTTCTCAGGACAAACCCAGACGCTAGAACAGCTTTTTTCCACTATGCTACAATCTTTTCCCGCTGACTCACATGTTAGAGAAAAGCTGACAACCGAGAGCAACCAGGCTGGAAGCACCAGGTAAGGAAGCAAAGCTTACATGGGAAAGAATGGTGCCTTGACAGACAGGGTCTCACTGTGCAGGCCAGGGTGGCCTTGAACTCACCAAGAGCTGCCGGCCTCTGCTCCCAGAGATCAGAGATTAAAGGTATATGCCACTATGCCCAACTCCTCTTTCCATGTTTTTGGGGGGTTTTTGTTTGTTTTTCAAGGGCTTCTCTGGCTGTCTTTGTAGACCAGACTGTCTTTGTAGACCAGGCTGGCCTTGAACTCACCTGCCTCTGCCTCGGGAGTATGGGGGATTAACTGCTGGATTAATGGCTTGCGCCACCATGTTAACAATCAGTTATGGTACCTTTGCTTCTTCTCATCCAGCCCACACCTCTCTGACACTATGACTAGCAGAGCTCTCTGGAGCCTTCATGGATTATTTACTAGCCAGGGAAAGGGCAAGAAGCTTTAGTTTAAATGTTCCCAAAGGAGCAAAAAGAACATTCCACTGCCACCAAAAATAGAAGTTTCAAAAAGTCTTTCTGGAACACACTCTCAGCTCTCACCAGCCTGTGACTCCTAAAAAGTGCCCTTAAGTAGGTTCCAAAGCATCCCTATATGATGTGAAATGTCTCTGCCAAACTAGGAAAACTGACCTAGAACACAAACTGCAGGAAATGCAGGGTTGGGGGAGAGTAAATGGTCAGCGGGTGGCCCAGAAGTGGGTTTTTCAGTCTTGCTCCAAACTCCTCTAGTTCAGGCTGACTTCAAACACAAAGCCTTCATGCGGAGGTGCCCTAGTGCTGGAGTTACAGGAACGTATCACACCAGGCCAGAACTTTTGGGCTGCCTTTTTTTTTTTTAAGACAGGGGCTTTCTCTGTAGCCGGGATGTTTCGTAGTATGTAGTCGGCCATCTTCCTTCCTCAGCCTCAGAGTGCTGGGATTGCAGCGGTGTACCTTTCCCTGTGATCTTGTGCGAGGACAGACACGGGTGTCCACGGGCGTCACACCGTGAGTGTGTGGGCGGCAGTGAGAGGAGGACCATCCTGCTCCTGCAACATGAGACAGGCTCTCGCCGAACCTGGAGCTCGGTGGGCAGCCAGCAAGTCCAGCCGTCCATCTGTCTCCACCCTCCCGTGCTTCTGGGGCTACAGAGGTAGGCGGTCACACCCAGCTTTTTATTTGGCTTCTGGGGATCTGAACTCAGGTTCTTTTTATGATTTCTTTTTTCTTTTCTTGTTTTTGTTTGTTTGTTTTGTTTTTTCAAGACAGGGTTTGTTTTTTTTTTCTCTGTGTAACAGCTCTGGGTGCCCTAGAACTTGCTTTGCAAACCAGGCTGGGCTCGAACTCGGATTCACCTCCTCTGCCTCCCCAGAGGAGTGCTGGGATTAAAGGCATTTGTAACCACCTTCGGGCCATCCCATGACCTTTTCATAACATTAAAAAAAATACTACCCGTTCTATTTATAATCCCAGCAATCAAGAGGCTCAGGCAGGAGTTTGGGGAGTATGTGTTTGGGCCCAGGCTGGGCACGACTCTGGCTCAAGCAAAACAAAACAAGCAATATAATAATAATAAATATT